GGTCTGGAGACGGGTCCTCAGTGGGTCCACAAACAGATCCAGGCCCATGTTGAATAAAGGTAAATTAAAAAGAACACAGTTATAGTATCACAGTCACAGCCAGCAGACTCATTAATCAGACAGCAAACATTTTTCTACACATATTGGTCACTGAAATCTGAAGGAAGTAGTTTGGTAGTAGTTAAAAATAGATTAACTTAGTTAAACACAGTTTAACTTTGATTTACGGTGATTCTAATTAAAATCAATGTCTGTGTAGTTCGGACAAAGCTTTAAAAATGTAGCCAACAAGGTCTTAATAAACAAAACAAAATATAGTCAGAGAAAGATTTTTAAACTCACTGTTAACACCAATTAGGTTTTGTTCTTTTCAAGCCGTTCTAAATAAACTTCGACTGAACAGGAAACATGAGGCTGTTTTTTCTTTCCTATTCATTTCATCATGCTAACACTAACACCATGCTAACAACAACAATCAACGAAGCTCTACTTTCAGCATAGAAACTGTTTAAACACATCCTCTTACAAATACTGACAAGTACTACATGTACCAAATGTGGAAAAAAAAATACAAACAAGTAAAAAGAGTTTAACTTACAGTTGTTTAAGGGTTTGATGGTGGGCCACTTGAGTCCCCCTGCTGGCCGGGTCAGAGCAATGCCGTTATGTGTTTTTGAACTTGCATTATTTTTTTCCATTATGCAGTCGGTTTTATGAATGCATCAGTTTTCTTTTTTAGTTGTTCATCATAAATCCACTATCTACTTTATTGTTGTACTACATGACATGAATGACAAACTBAAAAGCCTCCAAATGCTTTTCCCTTCAGCAAATTGTTGTGTTTATAAAGAGTTCATCTAGTCTCAAATGAGGCAGTGGTCATGTCCCCCTAGTGGTCTGGCTTAGTTACTGTTTGCAATCGATCTTTTCGGTGTTCCATGCATAATGTCTTATTTTGACAGGTAAAAGAATTGTACTTGTAAATTAGATTCGTACTTGTAATTTGGCCAAGTTGTAACTTTTTAACTTGTATTTGTAACTTAAAAACTTGTATTCTCACATAAGAATTGTACTTGTAAATTTGATTCGTACTTGTAAATTTTATTCGTACTTGTAAATTTTATTCGTACTTGTAATGTGGCAAAGTTGTAACAAATTTATGTACGTTTATAGACTTACATGTACAAATTTAGACTCTTACACATACAATGATTCTGACAGTTCTCTTACCTGATAAATTGGGTTTTAGATTTGCAGCATTTTTTTACACCAAGTAAGAAGTGTTTAATTTTTCCTTTTAGCTGTCGTGATTTTGTAGTCTTTAAGACCTGCACAGCATGTAGATCAGAGCAAATAGGTTCTACATGATTTCACCCTTTCACACTAGAAGCAAAGTGTCCTGGAAAAATAAATTATCCTTTAAGGTCCTACATTTCTTCTCAGGCCAAGTCAGTGACGTCTTTTGCTTACCTTAAATGTCATGTTTTATGATTTTACTCTTTATCTTGTTTTCTCTCGGACAAAGTGTTTTAAGGTCAGGACAACATCTGTTAGAAGTAATCATTCTTGTTGCTGTTTTTTCAAACATCAATCTCTCCTCGGCCCGGTTTTAGCACCAAGAGACATGTTTATTGTCTGTCTGGATAACATTCTGCATAAATGCGTGTAAATGAAACTGCCTCGGTGCACACATTTTGTACCACTGCCCTGTGTGACATGATGTGTGCCTTGCAAATTGCAATAAATCCTGTTGAGCATTTTCACCGAGTGCTTTTTGTTTTTGGATCTCACGTTTCTGTCTAGGTAAAATAAAGATTTCCACGACAAAAGTTTCACAGAAAACCTTGTGCAACACAAACTGACCACAAACCTGTATTCTTAAAAACACTTGACTCAACAGTAAGGTAGAGTGTCAAGACCAAGACTAATTATCTGGAGTTTTTGTGCGTTTGAGCCCTGGCTGTCAGTGCCGTTGAAAGGATTCCGGGAAACGAAAGCATCAGGACAAATTCCTAGGAGCAAGAGTCTGAGACATGTCTCTGCTTGATAAGCATCCACCTGACGTTGTTTTGAAGTGCACACAGTATTCAATACCTAATGCACTGACGCTGCTATAAACATGCAAAAACCAACAGAATCCAGTTTGATTTATTGACTTTCAAAAGAACATCAATATTTTGTATTTAGACTAAATGTTACCATGGTTGCAACCATTTGTTGGTTTTGATTTGGACTCATTTATAATTAATCTTGAGAATTATTAAAAGCAATTAATCAACATGCATTGTCTAATCTCAAAATGATCAGACTGCATGTTTCATCAGCAAATGATCCAAACTGAAAAATGGCATTTTAAAGCAGTCCAGAAGAAAGGATGATCAGAAATCCTTCCATTAAAAGAAACAATTTGTGTTTTTAAGCTGTTTAAGCTCGTTCTCTTTAGGCGTGGGCAACCATGGTTATGTATTCTATGTAATCTTTCACAAGCTGCAGCAGGCTGGTGGGTGTCATTCCCATCCATCGGATCAAGCTGCCTGTTTTCCTCAGCTGCTTTTTTTTTTCCTTTTTAGTTTCCAGTTGTTACAAGATGTTCTAACCCTTCATTGTGTCTGCACTCAAAAAACATTTGTGGTCAGTGAATGTTAAGTAATGCATTTAGCATTACATTTACTCAGTTTAGCACAGTAGAACATGTTGACATCATTTCTTTAAGTAAATCCAAAGCAAATGTTTTTTTTTTGAGTTTGAAAATCATGGCCTGTCCTTGCATGACCTCCTTTTATTTTGCGCTTAATCCTTCGTCAATCCTTGTTGAAGCCTGAGATCTTAAGCATTTTTTTCTAAGATGAACCAGTACTGTTCATTTCATTGTCCAAGATTCGCTTCCAGGGATGGTCAATTCTGGTCCTCGAGGTCTGCAGCCCTGCATGTTTTACTGTTTTCCCTTCTCTAACACACCTGATTCAGTGAGAGAATTACGTCTTCCAAGTTCTACAGAAGCCTGAAAATCATCCAATCAAATCAGGTGTGTCAGAGAAGAGAAACAAGTAAAACGTGCAGGGCTGCGGAGCTCGAGGACCGGAATTGACTATTCCTGCTTTAGGCCTTTGGTGAGAGGTGTACATTTTTGAGAATCTTCCTACGCAGCTCTAGTCTTGATTTCCTTCGAAAATCTTCCGTTGGTTGTTCCTAGAACATCCACCTGCCTGGAACCATTGACTTGTTTTAGCCTGGGTCTTCAGTTTGAAGCCACGGTTTCAACGGTTAAAAACACATTGAGTCACTGGTTTCAGTTTGACAGGGAAACAAAGTTACATAATTTGCAGAAATACTTCTTTGTTTTCGTTTGTGTAGCCCTACTGTAAAAAACGAATTTGCTTAATTGGGTGAATAATTGTTTTTACTTAAAACAGATTTAATTTCATTCCCAGACAGAAACAAATGCAGGAAATTGGTTTAAATCCAAAGGATACAAAATTTATTAAAATATGATGCAGCCTCATTAAAACAAAGGACATGTATTTTACTATCTCTACATATTAATGTTAACGAGACTGAACAGTATTCATGTATCAACAATAGTCCTGTTCTACCCACAGTATCAATGTTTCATCTCAGTTTCACAATGAACAAATCTGGGGGGAGTAGTTTATGGATCTAAAAGGTCCATTTCTCAAATTTGGCTTCCACTGATTTGACCAAACCTTTGCCCAAGACTTTAAAGTCCTCCAATATGGCTTCAACATTTGGAACGGTTTTGACTTCTTCACCAGTCACCTTCGCAGTTCTGGCAGTCATCTGGGATGTCTGATGAAAGGAAATGTAAAAACATCAGAGTGATGAGTGCTGACACGTAGGTATGAAGAGGATGAAGATGAAGCAAACTAATAATTCAAAGATGATCACAGATAAGCTTGTGAGGAGTCCAAAATGCTTTTCATGTAAGTTCCTACTGCTTCATGTAAGACAAGGTGGCACAAATGTTACCTTAAAGGGTGCAGGAACAAAAGCCTTTGGTTTCCATAAAACGGAGATCACCGTTCCACCGTAGGGATCACAGAAGAAGAGGGCCAGGTCTCCAAATGCCTCCTACAAAAAAGGATTAAGGAATGTATTTAAAAACAATTTGTAATATTTCTTGTAAAACAAACTGCACATTTCTAAGAATCTATAAAAGCATCAAGTATTTTGTTAAGAACTTTTGTTAATTATACTTATAAATCAGCACAACTGCTTTAATCTATGCAGTGACAGTTCCAAGGATTAAGAATAAAAGCAAAAATGTTTTTGACTGAAAATTCGTTGGTCATGCACACAACTTGGATAAGTGTATAAAATAACAGCACTCTGAACACATTAACATTTAACACTGGAAGCGAGGTAAGGGTGGGGGTGATTGTGTATCCAAGTTGGCGTCTCCCTCCGGCTACAGTCAGTTAGTCACATATCCTGCTGCTCGCACAGGACAGGAGCTGCAGAATGACAGGTGCTTTCACCTGCAGTCTCTAACTGCTGGGCTCACACCGCTCTGCACTGATTAGATACAACTAAGGTTCTAGTTATTCATGAAAGCCACGTTGGTTTCTTTAGACCACAACAAGAAAATCATGTTTGTTCCTTCACATTTTTACGAATGATGGAAATCAGTCATGGTGACAGATTTTAATCCCTGTATACTTTATTCCTTCCTTCAATAAGACCTTAGATATAACCCAAATGCATGTGTTAAATTCTATATTTTTCAGAGGATATTTCTCTTGAACGTTACCTTTGTCAAGAAGGTGCTCAATGCTGCATGTATACATACATTCCATGTTAGAAGACGAACAAAACCTCTCTTTGAAACTGAATCCAGTACAAACAAGCCTTACTCTTAGTTCATTCAGGTACAGGGACACAGGGTTGTAGTCGATAACTGGGAGGGCACCTCCAGACTGGGGTGTGCCGTCTGTAATTACACCCCTGCTGAAGGTGACAGTTGGTGGGTCCACAGCTCGACTGAGAAGAGGAACTTGCTTCGGGTTCAGATGAATCAAAACATCGTAGGCATCCAATGGAGGCCGCATAATCACCTACAAAAACACGCAGAAACATGTATTACAGTGCTAATAAAAGTCAGAACTTTCAACACATAAGGCTAATGAAACTTGTATTGTTGAAGGATATAAAGGCTTTTTTACCCACCCTCACATCTTGTGTCTGGCTTCCATCCATCAGCTGATGTTCCAGGACCTTCAAACTCTCTGCAGCCACCACCATCACACGCTGCAGCATCTGAAACCCCACAAACAACAAGCTTTCTACACCAGAATCATTTCCTGTCACTGAAAAGTAAGTAAGTCATTTTATTATAATCTGTGTCATGCACCACAGCAGGTGCCCAGTCCACACAGGCTTACAGGACACACTAACCATGTATACAAGCAGATAGAGGAACAGTCCCCAAACAAAAAGGATCCTCTTCCTGAGGTGACAGACCTTTAAAATAAACTGGGCTAATTGAAACACAAAACACTTGAATAAATACTGCCCTTTATCTTCATTGATTAAATTAAATTAAAAAAATCTGGAAAAACATCAAGAAGCTAAAATTAATTTCTCAAAATCATATACAAATGACAATACAACAAAAAGTGCATTTCATTCTCAATTTCACCCAAATCACACAAAACATTTATGATCCCCTTCTGGAACTGAACAAAATCATCCAGTTTCCAAAGACAAAGGCAAAATACCAGATCTACATTGTGCACATTGCATATGGCTCAGGAACATAAGCAAAATGTCATAAACTAAATTAAAAATGTAGCTTTGACGATTATTACTTAGCAGTGAAACATAACTATTTGTAAACTATTGCTAAAAACACTGAAAGCTGCATTTCAAGGTCAAACAACTGGTTAATTGTCACAAACTGCTGTTTGATTAATTGATTTTGGTTTTCTAAAGCCTTAAAATTAATAATTTTCACAAACTCGTTACATTTTAAATATGAATTTTACAGCAACAATATCATCTTCATTTGGTATAAAGTTAGATTCTATTTAAGTCAGTTCAGGATACAGTATTCGTTTTGTCTTCATGGTTTACCAAAGTTAAATGATGTGTCTCTTTGGATTTACTCAATACTTGTGACAACACACAAATGTTGTTTTAGATTAGTGTTGAAATCACATATTTGGGGTAGGGTGTTTACATTAAACAGATAAAATCAAAGTTACACAAGCTTGGAAACACTTTTTAGTTTTTCATCTTGAAAATGTAAAATCAGTCACAACATTCAAACTACAGATGTGCCTTACTGATTTGCAGCATTGCTATGTATTTAAGATGAATAATTTCCCCTGCAGTTACAGTGCATTTTCTGCTTTTAACATTACATGTATGGCCTTCATACCTGCAACATGAATATGTGTAGCGATGGTGAGATGAGGCTTTGTTGAAGCCTTGAAGTTTTTCAACAAATGTGTTGCAAAATGGTTCATTTCTCAAAGCCTCATATCACCTGCTCACTATGGCCATCTAGTGGTGAATAAATAAACTTAACAGAAAAAAATTTCTAGTTTACATTTCTTAATTGTATGAAATGACTTGAAAATAATTTACGCAAACATATTAGCACACTTTTATTTGCACCCTGTCTATGTGAGGTGGTCTCAGTGAAAATGACTGTGCTGAAAGTAAAGATGTAATAGCCTAAAGTGATTTATAACTGGGTCTTTTAATAAACACCTTATTGGGAGAAAACTGACCCAAGGGTCAAAACGGGTGAAAACTTTTTCTTGACATCTCAATTGTTAGAATAATGCAAATAAGGCAAAAATTAAATAAAATAAAAGCCACAACATATTTATCACAGGACATCTTGAAAAAAAAAAAAAAAGCAAACCTCATTTAGGAGCACAAACTCCATAAACAAAGCTTCAAACATCACATGCTTCAAACGTTAACTACGTACAGGAAATACAAGAATACAGTGCCCAAAAAAACAACAGGTTGACAGCAGTCATCAGCCATGTGAAATTTAACCCCCTAAAAGGCTTCGAGGACTTTCAGGGACAGGTGTCAGTCTTTTTATGTCTGTTTTTAAAAACTTTCCAGGGCTTTGAGCCCATTTTTTTTTAATTCAAACTTTAAAGATTTCAAGGACCAGTAGGAACCCTTGTAATAAAACCTGTATTTTAATTGTTTGATATTTATAGGCTTCAGACAATTATTAACATCAGAACAACCAGTAGTGGAGGAAGATTTGATCAAGTTTAAGTGAAAAGAGAAGTATGTTCAAACTTTTGACTTGTATTTTGGTAAACCACTTTTAAACAAGCTATAATATAAATAAGAACACTGAAGGCTAACAAATAGAGGTTCTCTTGTTTGACGCAGGAAACGTCATTCACCAGGACAAAGTGAAGCACAGAGGGACTGTGGCGTCTCTATTAAAACGTCATAGACTACAAAGATCCCCCTACTCTTATAAAGGAGGATGCTGGGAGAGGCTGGCTATTTTAAAGCTGCGCTTGTTGGAAGATCAGGGAAGGCGAGCACAGGAAACCTATCTGGGTCAACTACGCACCATGAGACGGTGGTGTGCCTTTCTCTTTTATGCACAACTGTGTGCCAATGGATTTTTTTACAGCTATGCTCACACTCAAACAGAGGAATACAAAACTACATATTTAACTTTTTTCACTACGACAGAGGAGAGCAATGAAAAGCAACTGGTGAGCTGTACCTGATGGGTCTTCAACAACCACCTGTATTGTTAATAAAATATTAACGTCAGTTATGTTCACAACCTGAGAATATTTTTTTACAGAAAAATTACAGACTAAATTTTGATTTCCCAGATCAGTGACTTGCACCAGGTTTTGGAAAAACTTCAGAACAGTCAATTTCCATCTCTAAGAAAAAAACATGGCTATCTCCCAGCGGTAAGCAACAAGTCCATCTGAAATAACCTCAGTGTTTTTATTCATTTTATAGGGGGCAAAATGTTCACTATTCTAGAGATACAATTTAAATTGTTTTCTCTTCTCTTTTCTTTTTGTAGTGTGATCCAGGGGAACAGTGTGCATTAAGAAGAGGCTCTAGGATTGGAAAACTATGCGATTGCTCTCTGCCGAGGACATGCAATTCTTTTCTGCATCGCTGTTTATAACGCTCAGCGTGAATAAGCTATTAAACACAACAAAATAAGTTGAATGTATACAAATACTTCATGTTTTAAAATCCCACTTTGTGCAAATCTATTAAATGTGCTGCGTTATGTGTATTTACGTGTACTGACCTGTATGCTTGGTGCTCGTCTGGTCCACAAAGACAACTTTTTGTCTTTAGGCGTCGCTATAAACATGACAGGCAGAGAGTCCCTCGACGCCATGAAGTCATTCTTGATCTCCGTGTAGTCTGCAGCTACACGTGACAGAGACACAAACAACAATTAAACTTGGCATAAAAACAGCTAAACGTACGGGCAGGATGTTAAAGTATGTCAAGGGAGAAGGGGGTCAGGGGGGTGGATTTGTTTGTGGAAACACTTGCCTGTGAGCTGGCTGTTGAAGTTGACTACCAGCGGGTTGTTCCTCCAGTCAAAGCATGAGAGCAGAAGGAGGAAACGCAGGAAGCCCACCTGAGGAGAGCTGAGAAGGACAGAGACATGCATTCACATGACCTACTGAGCAAAACAAAGCATCAGGGAAAACGTGATTTTCCTTGAAATACTTAAATTTAGAATTACCCTGGAGGAGTAAAGGGTGCAGGCTGCAGGAAGAGCGATGCCACCAGCAGATCTGCTGTGTCCTCTGTGATGTCATCACTGAAGAGCTGAGCCGCCAACCAGCGTTTAGCCAAGCGACAAACTGCTCCGAAAGACGGGTGCTGCTGCTGGAGACTAACAGAAAATAAGATGCAGTGTGAGATAAACCAACAAAATGAAACACAAAATGGTGAAAAAAAAAATAAACAACAGAACAGAGGTCACAAATTAAAGACAAATCAGACAGAAAAATGTAAAAACTGCTGTTTCCGAAAATATCTTTTTGTATTTACCCATGTAATGTGCTGGTAAGAAGAGGTTTGTGAATAGTGATCATCTCCAGAGCCTGAGCCTCCTCATTGTCCCTGACCACCAACAGCCCGTCAGCATTCACACTCTCCCGTAAAACCTGTGGCTCGCGATGGTACGCCACTTGAATTCGAAACGCCAATCCGTCCTGAAAGCAAAGGGAGACCCAAACAATGTTCTCAAAAAACAAGCAATACTGACATTGGGGGAAAAAAAAAAATTCACTAAATTAAAAGCAGTTTTTGATTTGCCACAACTTAAAAAAATAACTACCTTCCACACATCCAGGTGTGTGGGACATGGCTTGCATGTGTAATTGTGGTGCTTCTTGAGTAACTCTGCCAGTTGGATATGGAACGCAGCTCGAATGTGGCGAATTGCAAGGCGATCATGAGGCCATTTTCCACTCCCCTCCATGTGACAGATTACTGCAAGAGCATATAAAAAAAGTAACCAATAATTTCCCAAATCCTACTTGTCACAGAACAATATTGTAACTATTGAATGAAAATATGTCAAGTTTTTTCTAAAGCTGTGGTATTAACCTGTGATAGGAGTTACATAATGTGGACATGGTTTGTCTTCCTTTGGCACCAATGATCTTGAAGTCTTTTCTCTGTCAAAGAAGGAATAGTCCAGCTTTAATGGTTCAGGGGGAAAGACCTGAAAAACACAGCAGAGCAGTCAGAAGTGCTGGAAAACCAAAACTACATACATCTTTGATGGCATGAAGGTTTATTAGATGCACATCTTCAGCAGCACCGAGAGGTGCATCAGCTAACATGAGGTGTTTACCTGTGTGTATCTAAGAGCTGGGTGGGCTCCTTGAAGGGCAGTAACAGTTAGAGGCAGCTCTTCCAGCCTCCACAACTTCCTGCTAAGGTCATCATAAGACTGAACTACCAGCAAACTCTCCTCCTCTCCAGTACTAGGCACCTTAAACATCAAGACAAGCAACTTTGTGAGATCTCTGCAAACTCTCTGCAAATGTCCTGACAGTTATGAAGTGAATTTAGGATATTACAAGTTGTTTCAACAATGTAAAAGTCCGCTAACATTACAATAGTTGCTGATTCACATATGAAACATGTTTTGTTTAGTTGTTAGTTAAAAAAAAACATTTACAGCACACAATTGAAACGTTTAATATCCATAATTTCACTTTATAACTGTCTGGGTTTACACGGGCATAGTTTACAGATTTAAATCAACCCCAAAATAAGCTTTTAAAAATGTTTACCTGGCATCCCGTTTTGATGACGTCATCAACAAGCGCTCCGACATACCGCACACAGGATTTGGGGATATCCGCGTGACTGACAGAAATAATAAAAACAAATCCATTGATTTCGTTAAAATCGCGAAATTTATGTACAATTTCAATTCAACTTTAAAAATAACGTTTTTGCCTGAGTCACATTCCTTTCAGATAGCCGTAAGCGTAATTTTTTGCTGCACAAAAACATGAAGCGTGGCGCGAAAAGACGGAGCTCCGTGTGGACCTGCTTTGAGCAACTCGGTAAAAACTGGGTTCGCTGCAAGAAATGCCACACCACTTTAAAATACTGCGGCGGAGCCACCACCTCCATGATGGCTCATATGACCAGGCACTTGCCCATTGAACCGCTGGAGGAGGAGGACGACGACGAGAAGCTCGTGATTTCTGCAGCACCACGCACCGAGGAGGACAGCTCGTCAGAGGCCGCGCATGGAGCTAGCGCGTCCCCCAACACAAACACGACCGCCTCCCCGCCACCGGAGCGGGAACAGGGGGAGCGAAAACGCACGAGGCGGAGCTCCGTGTGGGATATTTTCATTAAAGAGGACAACGAGGTTCGCTGCACGATTTGCGACACCAAACTGAAATATATGAGCAGCACCACCAGCATGATGTATCACATCAAAAACAAGCACGCGGAAAAAGACGCCACGTCTGGCGACGGCGTGACCACGCACGCAGAGGTGACTGAACTTATCTGCAGAATGATAGAAAAGGACATGTTTCCCATCAGCGTGGTGAATGGGGATGGTTTTCGGGAGCTGCTAGCACACACTGTGCATGGTTATAAAATGCCATCTGCTGACGACATCGCACACAGTATTGAATACCATTATCAGGAGAAGGCAGAGAAGCTCCTGCTGCAGATGAGGAAAGTGGAGAAAATGTCTCTCACTGTAGATTTCTGGGCAGCCCTGCCATTTCAAAAGTACATGACAATTTCATGCTCATTCATTACCGAGGACTGGCAAGGGAGATCAGCTGTGGTGCACACACACAAGCTGCCCTCAGAGAACCACAACACAGAGAGCATTACTGAGCTGCTTCTGAGTACAGCCCACTCCTGGGGCATCGCAGAGAAAGTTATAACATGTGTCCACAACGGTACAGAGAAAATCTGGGCACATCAAGCGTGCACCTCTGTCAACATGAACTTTGTGACGTGCTTCGCCACAACGCTGCAGCGTGCGGTCACTGATGGGCTGAGTGAGGCCCTCCTCCAGATCGTCGCTGCTGCGGGGAGACTGGTTCAGCATTTCACTGACAACATCCTTGCAAGTGAAGCCCTGGAGCAGAAGCAGATGCAGATGTGCCTGCCGCAGCACAAGCTCATTAAGTCGAGCAGAGCTCGATGGGACACCATCTGCGATATGTTCGAGCGGCTGCTTGTGCACAGGTGGGCGATTAAAGCCATTCTCTCTGACCGCACGGTCACAAGCCGACAGGAAGCTCAGGCTCTTGAGATCGAAGATGACTGCTGGCAAATGATTGAGAACTTCACACCTGTACTGGCGACGCTGAAGTGGGCAACGACAGTGATATCTGCTGAGACGGAGGCGTCGATTTCAAACATCTACCCGATAACGTTCAGCCTCATTCAGATACACCTTGTGCCTAAAGAGAATGATGTTGAACAAGTCCTGGAGTTCAAGCTGAAGGTTCAGAACTCACTTAGAAAGAACATGGATGTGGGTGTAAACTGTTTAGTTTGAATGTCCTTGTTTTTACCAACTCGTGCAAAATATTATCATGACAGTTGTTTCATTTTGTGGTTTACAGGTCGACTCGTGTGATTTAGCTTCCAAACCAGCTCTGATTGCCTCGATGCTGGACCCCCGCCACAAACACCTCAGCTTCCTGACGCCAGCGGGGAGGCTGACTGCAAAGGTTAAACTGCATGAACTGGTTTCAAAATTAGAAACAGCCATTACTGCCAGTCTCCCAAAAGATGAACAGCAGGAGATCCCAGTCACACCTGACATTAGCCAGATGGCCCAACTCTCAAAAACAAGAAGCAACACCAAAAACACAATGGCAATGCTTCTTGGGAGCAACTACAGCTCCTCTTACGCCACCGACTCTGAGGCCCAGGTGGATTACTACTTGAGGGACATTGCTCCCTCACTAGACATAAATCCTCTTGACTGGTGGAGGGTAAACGGACCAAGATTTCCCAAAGTGGCAACTCTGGCAAAACATTATTTGTGCATACCTGGCATTTCACTGCCACCTTTATTGTCAGAAGCTGGAGAAACCTTTGCGACAAATCGCACAAGGCTGAGTCCAGAACATGTCAACATGATAATCTTTGTGAACAGAAATACATGATTTGCAATACTTACCGTACTGTTCCTAAAGCAAAAATAATAATTATATATATATATATATATATATATATATATATACACACACACACACACACACACACACACACACACACACACACACACACACACACACAGTATATGGCTCAGTGGCAGCATGACAGCTCAGTGGTTAGCACCGACGCCCCACATCAAGAAGGTCCTGGGTTCGATCCCCGGTTCGGACCTGGGGTCTTTCTGTGTGGAGTTTGCATGTTCTCGTGCTTGCGTGGGTTTTTTCTAGGTACTCCGGTTCCCCCCACCCCCCAAAACATGTACAATAAGTTGCCTTCAGGCCCAGGCCTCCCTTGAAAAAGAGATCTAAGATCTCAATGGGATTTGCCTGGTAAAATAACAGTAAATAAATATATATGGGAAGGGGAGTGGGGAACAATATGAAATGATTTAGTGACAGCCTTAACATAGCTGACAATGAGCCTAAAACAGACAGCAAGTAAACATGTATAAGTGCTTTACTTTACTAAGATGCTCACTACATCATACACCTCAGTTTTGTTTACTTGTAATAAATTCTAGACACAAATGCATTCTTTCTGGTTTTGATCCAAAACGTGAATGATCATTTTTACATGAACATTACTGTAATTCTTACTGTATAAAACTGTGCAATGCTGTAGCTAATTACACAAGACCTCTTAATGTTGTTTACAAAATAAATGTATTTTGTAGTAGTTTTCAGTTATTAAACTCTAATTACAGACTGTTTTGAACAAGTGATTACTTCAACGGATTTTCAAGGTATTTCCAAAATAAATTGCATCCGTGCTAATAATTTTTTCTAAAATGATCATACAACTTTTTATAGAAATTTAAAAATAATATATGTTGCAACACAAATCAAGAAATGCAACAAAATGAAAAAAAGCAACAATATGTTTTTCAAAAAACACAACAAAAGCGTAGTCCACACTGTAGTGGGCTTTTGTATCAGTAATCTGACTTTGGTACCTTATCTTTTAGCAACCATTTGCTGCATGAAGCTTCCTGTTTTCTGACTCAGAAAACAGCCTACACAAATTACACATTTGATTAGTTAATATATTGTATTCTTGGCAGAAAATATTTCTGTGCAAATACTAAAATTGAAGTTGTATCAGTTCAACTGATTTTATTTTGCCGTTATTGTGCATCTCTAAGCTCTGTTAAAGTTAAATACATACAGCTGGAGCAAGTGTGTGATGATCTGCTCAGGGACGAGCCGCTTCTGCCACATGCTGTTTCCATCCCACAGCACAGCCTCGGTGATCGCACCATCCTGGAAACGACGCAGCTCAGAGCGAGGGCCCCACAGCTGACGAAACTCAGCCGCCTAGCAGAGGAACGTCATTTTTTTTTATTATTGTCAACCACTAAACCAGCATACTAATGCATGCAAAACAGAAACAAGTGAAAAAACAACCAAAAGATGCCCGACACAAGCAAAATGTATATGCTTGCAAACAATTCTAAGTACATTCTAAGAAAATCTGTAGCATGTTTAATTTTAGCTACCAGACTTGTAATAAATCTGAAAATTTAGTAAATATTTCTAAAACTGAAATATGTTAGAATATACACAGTGTCAAATTCTCATTCTTGATTAAGTATTTGGCATCCGATTTCATCAAACAAATATATGGAGCCCAAGAGGGGACATGAGAGGTTTTTTTTTCTTTTGCGTTCCCACGCAATAGTATTGCATTACCTCACAATACCTTTTGCGTTCCCTCGCAAAAGTCATTTATCACTGTTGTACCTGCCGGTTTATTAACACATTCACTTGCTCACCATTAGCGAGTTAGCCTACTACTTTAATTCAGCTTCAGAATGAATATATCACACAGCCACGCATGGAAGTATGTCATATGCCAATATTTTAACACAGTGAAGCCACGCAACATTAATGTCAATTTCATGAACTTGTGGCAACACATCCTGTTTTGGTAACCRGATATTTCAAAATAAAAGTCTGATTTAATTCAGAACGTATACAAAACAAACTTTTGCATGGGAAGGCAACACAATTTAGCGAGGAAATGCTAACATTTGTGAGGTAACGCAAAAAGTTTTGCGAGTTAACTCAAAAGTATTGCGAGGTAACACAATAGTATTGCGTGAAAACGCAAAAGAAAAAAATCCCCCCATGTCCCCTCGCAGGCTCCATTCAATTGGGATGTCACAGTTTTTTTTTTATTTTTTTTTATTTTTTTGCAAACTGCTTTGTTACTTTTTCTATTTTAAACTACACTGAGAGAGGTTGAATACTGTATAAAGCTAGCCAAATTCTTGACCTTAAATAAAGAGCCAGGATCACTTAAATACACACATAGCAGAAACAGGTGATGGTACCTTGGGGTTGTCTGCAGGGGGGCCTCTTTCAAGGACAGAAGCAGCCAGCTCTGGCCTTAAGAGCAAACCAAAGGAGAGGGGAGGATGAGCTTTGTACTTTGGGGCTTCACTCTCTACAGACCACTGCAAGAAAAACAAAATTTGATTAAAAAATCTTAAATAAACATCCATTCAAAAGTTCAGAAAGTCTTAACTCTTCAGAAGCAAAACAGAACAAAAATGTTTTGTTTTTTGTTTCCTTTTTTTGCAGAAAACTGAGGAAGCATAAAGACAGACTGTCCTGTGCACACACTTTGTGGAATTGTAATAAAAAAAGCCTTGTTTTCCATTTAGGGCATAATACCTCAGTGTCAGGTGACAGGGAGTGGGTTAGGAGGTGAATCCTTTGGCCAAGTCCTTGCTGGAGCAAAGATAGAATAAAACGCAGAGCAGTCTGGATATAATTCCCACTGCGGTCCATCAGCTCGCTCATCAGATTCTGTTTCTTACAGCTGGTCTGAAGCTTCACCAAGTCACACAACCTGGAGATGAAAAGCACAAAAAGTGACAGCTTGGTAGAGTTAAACTTACCACTGTGATTTCAGCTAGCTGTATGGTTTAGTCACCAGCACTTAAAAGTTGGCATTATCAGACATAAACAACAAGCACAGTATACAGGTTATGTAGCATTCCCAGTGATCGACATAAACGTACTGGAAGACATGGTCACTTGTCCTTATAATGGTTTTGGGGGTCATAAGGAGGCACTGGAACCCATCTACTGTGGGGTTATCCCAGAACTGCAATGAAAGCGATGCCTCATGCTGCAACTAAAGACAAAAAAATGACAGCTGGTCAGTCTCACTGTGTAAATATTGTATCCAAACACAGCCCTTTTTATGCTACTTGCCTGTTTGTAGGTACAAGCGGTCATTTCAGCACACATGTTAAGATGTCCTGAAGGGTCAACAAACACAACCTGGAAAGCACTGTGGAAGTCCACGAGAGATGGCTGCAGGAAGACAGAAGAACCACGGTGAATAAAAAGTGTGACAACATGAATGCACAAGAAGAGACATGTGCTCACTTACAGCTGTGGAGTCCGGATCTTTGGCTAGGCTGATTCCGTTCACAGTCAGGTCTGTAGAAGCTAAAAGTGAAGATGTGGATAAGTCACGGGTATTCCAGAGAGTGAATTTATACATTTATTGATCAGATGAGGAAAAAAAAATTGTAATGTTTTTTTTTCTTACCCAGAAAATTCAAGCTGTTTCGAAGCAGCTGATAGGCTGTCATGGTGTTACTGATTCGGTGAGTGACCAGCAGATAGGCCATGAGCATTGAGGCCAGGAATCCATTAAAACAACCAGTGCCCTAAAAGGATATAGATGTGACAGCTCAAACAAAAGAGTACACAGAATATGTAAATTCAAAATAAGAAGTTAAGCTCTTGCGAGCTTGCTACCTGGTTGAGCTCTCTTTGACGAAGCCAGACTTTAAGCAAAGCCACTCCATCAGAGAAAGCTGAGCACTGAGCGCCGACAGCAGAAAGAAACTGCAGGTGAGCCCTGGGCAGTAAATCCCCCAGAACAGAGCTGTTGTAGTGTGGAGTGGGAGGTTCGCTGCTCTCTGAAACAAATGAATGACATTTGAACTAACAGGGTTCCCACACCTTGGTCAACATCAAATTCAAGGACCTTTCAAGGACTTTCCAGTACCAATTTCCTCAAATTTAAAAACCACGCGCGACAGCAATTACCTACTGTTACTGCAGATTGTTCCCAATAAACAGGTTTAATTTTATGCAAATTCAATGAAAAATTGAACATAGAAGTTGTTGATTCAGAATCAATGAAAGAAAGTGGATTAAATGTATACCCTACATTCATGTCTACAACACATGGACAAGCAATTATGTCCTGGGAGGTTCAGCAGCTCAGTTTGGGAGGAGGGGATGTGAGCATGTCCTGACGCTCAGTGAGGACAGGAGGAACTGTGGTGCTCTCACCTGGGCTCAGAAAGAAAGACCCGCCCTACTCTGCTCTGATTGGATAAAACTATGACTATGGTACACGTTATTTGTTGAAAGCCACGTCAGTTTACTGTAATCCTGAGTCATCCACCGCAACAAATGTATGTTTTTTTATTTAATTTTATTATTATTATTATTATTATTATTTTTACAGATGATGAAAATCAGTCATGTGAATAGAGAACTTCAATCCCCTGAAAAACAGTCAAGGACTTTCAAGGACAAGTGTAATTTTTGGCAGTTTTCACAAACTTTTCAGGGCCTTGAAATCCTTTTCTCATATTCACAAACTTTCAAGGATTTCAAGGAACCGTGGGAACCCTGAACTAAAGTGAGCCGCTGATGAGCATAAACTTTGACCATTTAAACAGTTTAACAAAATTTAGTGCATCCCTGAATTATGAATTTCTTTGGACAATTCTGAAATAAAGTAAAGTAGATACCCCTGTAGCTAAACAAACAAGAAACTGGGGTGTACTATATTTAACAATGACCTGTATAATTAACTGTCATACCAGGTGTCTGCAGTCCGGTGTACCACTCTGTCCTGACATTATTCCTGTCCGGGTGGAAACGACTGGGTTTGAAGAATCCAGGAGGCGGGCAGACATGAACACAGACAGTGAACCTTGAGGAGTCTTTGCCTAAATGACAAGACACAAAAATGCAATTCATTGAAAAAAACCCCAAATCACAACATGAGAAATCCCAAACAATATGAGCCAAATGCAGTGAAAAGTTGAAACAATTTAAGCCCAAGTACCCGGAGGAGTCAACAGCAGAACAGGTCGGAGCCTGTTCCCATGGAGAGAGGAGAAACGCATCGTCCCGATCTCAGGGGAGGATGTCAGATGCTGGGCGAGTCCTGCCAGGTAAAGAGCCCTCTTTCTTGGATACCTCTGGTTTAAAAAGTCTTTTGGCTGGAGAATCTCCTGAAGGCAAAAACAATGATGAGTTTACGTTCCGTCACAAAGCAGTCATGAAACAACAACATACTCTTCTCTAAGGCTTCAGGTGAAAACTTACAGCTGGCATTGTGACAGCCAGGTCCACTTTAATGTTCGGTTTGATGCAGGTGCCCAGCGGGTAGCTCCCGATCAGATCAATGGATGCTGGAGTTGCCATGTGGAACTTACCCTTTGTTGTTTTGGGCATGAGAAGAAAAGGCACTTTCACTGCGCCAGACAGCCAAGATAGGTCATTAACCTGAGCACACAAGACAGGACTGCTGAACAACTGTAGACATTACTGAATAAAGATGATTTTTTTTTTGTCTAATTGTTATGTTTTGCTTGCTCTTCAGAGCGCTACACACTTCAACTTTTGGTGACGTCGGCACATTCTGGAGCAGATTGGTGACTGTCTGAATGAAGGAACTGATTTGCTGATTCCTGCGCTCACCAAGGACAACCTCTTTCAGCAGCTCATCCATCTATTATTGGAAAGAAGACGTCACTTTATCTGAGACAGGTTAAAATTTGCAGGAGCGTTTGCTTTTGAGTTTTCATCACAGCAATCTCACCTGCATTTTGAGGAGGCTGCAGTGGAACAGAGTTTCAGCTTCTTTCAGCTGGTTCAGCTCCTCTGCAGTTGGAGGTCTGTAGAGGTCATTTCGAGAGAGTTTCACCGGGTGATAGACCACCTCCTCCTCCTCCTCAGGTTTGAGCCTCTTGGCTTTAATCAGGGGCTCATTTTCCTCCTCCTCCTTTTTGTCATCATCACAAGCCAAACCCAAAGGATTTATCTGTAAAATAACAGCAATAGTTTATTTTTTTTACAATATTGCAAGGTATTACTACATATTGTATAACCACATATCATTTATTACGATAATTACCATACATCTTTACTTCCTGTACAGTTTAGATATTTCGTGTTGATTTGATCTAAGAAGTGTTAAAACTTATCCACGTAAAAAAAGCTAAACCATATAAAAAGAAAATGAATCATTCATACACCAGATTACATCTGAACGCTAACCTACAGTAAAACACGATCCTGCTAAAATACTATTAAAACATCACAAAGGTTTCGTACCTGTTCTGGCTCCTCGACAACTTTTTGCTTCTTTTTCATATTGTAACTCGTTTCCAGCAAAAATAGTTAATTTACAAACTGAAAAGCAAAGCTAAACGCTGCTTCCTCTTCGTTCTCACGTGTATTAATGGGTTCTGAAACTGCTATCAACAAAATACTTTCTGATTGGCTCAAAAACAGTAAAGTTGAATCTTATTAGTCTAAAAAAAGTCAAGCCCCGCCTACTTTTTTAACAAGATAGGTTGCACCAGCAGCAGTCTTTTGAACATGCTTTGAATGGCTGAACCGACAGCGCCATCTCACGGTATCTAAACGTTATTTCATTTTCCGAGGAGAGGAAAAAAAACACCAATACTGTTTGTTTATGCGACTTTTTAAAACAAGAATCATTAGGGCGATGTGAACAATATGTGAGACTGAGCAATTTTTGGTTATTTAAGTATATTTGAAAACACAGGGAATCAAACAATACATAAAGCAAAGAAACTGTGCAAACTCATTAAAAATGTTGCAAGGCTTACGGAAACTATAAAACAGTCCATATTGTCTGGAAAATAAAACATGTATTCAATTAGAGGCCTCTTTAATGCAGTATGGATAAAACTACAAAACTGCTGTATTTTTTCTTGTTGGACTTAGATTAATAAAGTGAAAACTAGTTTTGTTATTTTTAAATAGTATTTAAATTACTTTGGAGCAGTATAAGTAATTAGTTCTTAGTGTAAAGTTCCACTGTTTGTTAAGCCATAAGGCAATCGGGTCGGGAACATTAAAATAAAAAATAAAAACAGCTAGCATAAAGTTTGTGGGTTTTATTAGCTCTAACCCCTTCTTCTGACATCAGATCAGCCTCCTTTTAACAAACGTCGAGAGAAGCTCCATCATGGAAAAAGTGAGATTTGTTGTTCAAAGTTTCTGTCTTTTGT